AGACTGACTTTTCCATGGTACATAGCAACACACTGGTGTTCAGGCACCTAGTTTCAGGATAAAAAAAATCAATATATACAGCCATGAAAAATTCAACATTTTTCTGAGGTATTACTATGTTAAAATAAATTAAATGAGAAATTTGGAAACCAGAACCTTTTGGAATTTATGAGAAAGGGAGACAAATAGTGAAAACACTTGGCTTATTCATGCTCCCACAGAAGTCACTCAGAATTTCACTACTGGCTTCCCCAGAAGCAGAAATTTCCCTTAGGAAATACATGGAAAAGAATCGAAGGCAAACACTAGTGCATAGTGAGACATTCCATCAATCCAGTATGTCCTTCCACTTAATAACCATTTAAACATTAATCAATACCTGAGCTTTATCTCCTGTAAAACCGAGTTACTAGAATAGTAACAATGCAGATCATTATTTCATTTAACTTCTTTGTCTTTTTTTTTCTTGTTGTTTTTATAACTTTGCAACAAAGGTATGCACAAAAATAGGAAACAAGGGCAGCCTAAACAATTCCTAGTCTATTGTAAAACTGCAAATTCTCAATTAACCCCAAAACAATTTAAGAAGATTCAACACTTCTAAAGTAATGAGAATTTAAAATGAATTGTATTATCTTCCCTGATTGCTCTGCAAAGCGCTGTTGGCTGTGCAAATAAAAAACTGAATTGTATAACCTGTGATTTGGCACAGGATATTGTAAAAGTAGTACTTTGTCTTTCCCACCACATTTTTTACTTATTGTAAGAGTATATTGCAGTACAGTTAAGATGATTGTTCTTTGTTCATTTTTTGAGGGCTCTGCTAGCAAAAGGTTTAGAATAGACTCATTAAGAAAAGCACTATAAAAAATAGAAGTATAGAACACAAAACTTCACTTCCTACTTTTGACATTGGTGGGATCTGCTGATTGCACAGCAGTTTTGAAAATCAGCCCATTTTTCAAGTGGTTAAACGTGAACTTAGGTGCCTGTGTGTACCTAATCAGTTTTAAAAATCACAAGCGCATTGATACACCTGTATGGCTGTATACAGAATTATGTTCTCTGGTGTGCCAATTACTGTTTCTTTTTGGACTTATTCTACATTGCAGTAGTGAAATTTAGTGCTGCTTTGTGGAGATTCTGCTTCTTTAAAAATAAAATAAAATAAAATAAACCATGCCAACAGCTTACAGTTCCCAAGGGCTTATATGACAACAACAGAGCATGGGCAAGTGGGTGGAACATATTTTGATTGTGACTTCCTTGCACTACGTTCATGCCCTTGCACTATCTATAACTGGAAATCATCTGCTGCAAATTTAAGTGTACACATGAAATATAGACTTACAAATAGATGCAGAGCGGCTATAGATGCAGAACACAAATCAAAATATGCACTTGGCCTATTCGGTGCAGAACTAAAATAAAGTAGCAAATATATGGAAATAATTTAAAATTTATAAATGGCATCTTTCCCTTCCTGTAACACAGGAAAATAATTCAGAGAACACCTCCTGGGGTTGCTAGCAGACATCCATGGTGCCAGTGGCTGTCAGCTTGATTAGCACAGATGATGGTTACACAGAACAGTGGTGATAATATGGACACAGAAATCTAATCAGAGCCACAACCTTGCACTAGCCACAAAAAGAATTTCACAGCCGACAGTGCAATAGCCCAGGGTGCCATAGGAGAGCAGCCAGGCAGCTGGGCACGGAGTCAGATGCTGCCCTTGGCAAGGACTTCCAGAGCTTGGTAGTTGCCAGACTTCTCCCATGTGGAGTCAAGGGGTCTTGGCTCTTATGCTTTAACAGAAAGAGAAGGAAGGCAAAATGAAGCAGTGCCAAATCTGTGCTGAATGACACATCTGCGCCCGTTTGATGTGCAGCACTGACAGGAGTTAAGGTGAGCAATTCAGACAGGCTTGTCAGGGCGGCGGCTTTCAGCCTTGCGCATCTGGCGACTGCTCAAGTCACAATGTACAGAGACTGCACGGCCAGAAATACACGACAGAAAAGAAGCAGCACAGTGGCATTGGTCCCATGAAATATCTGCCTGATTCTGCAATTAGGCTTTGTGTAACGAGGCGAGAGATTGTAGGCAGCAAGTTGACACTGTGGTGGAGCAGTGAGCAAGGCTGGTCTGGTTGAATTAGGACTTGGAGAACTGGACTCTGAGTCCCTCAGCTCTGTCACACAGGAATTAGGGAAGCCCTTTAATTCATGCTATGCCCCCAACTCAGCTTCAAAATGGTGAAAATGTATTTCTGCCTTCAAAAGCTGTTAAAAGGATAAAACCTGTAAACAACTGCAAAAGGACTGAGAATGTAGAGCAATGAGGGACATC